CTCTCTCTCTCTCTCTCTCTCTCTCTCTCTCTCTCTCTCTCTCTCTCTCTCTCTCTCTCACTCACTCATTTATGTTCACCCAAAAAAATATCATCTTCTCCTTAGCGGAATCGTGTAATACGTGGTATTAAAAAAAAGGTTTAGTGTTCACTAAATTGAATAAAAAATATTTAGTGAACATGAGTCGAAAAATTAAGCTTTTTAGAGTTAGAAGGGATTTTCAATTTAAATGACTCACTTACAAAACAAAGGCGGGAAACAGAAGATTATCTGATAACTGTGTAACTATGTAACACTGAACAGATGTGTAATCATCGATCGCAAAGACAAATGTCTTATATTCTGAATTGAAGTAAAATGATGATTTCTTGTGAATGTAAAAACGGAAAAGATGTGTCGAACATCTTTTATAAACAAGGTAATAAGAATGCTATGAGATAACCTCTTTCCTGCTTTCTGCTGTAAAATAAACTTTTATTTCACCAATAAATTTTCAAGTATTTTTTCTCCTAAGTGTAAAGCACTTTATTTGAGATTGGAATATTTTCCTTTCAGTTTTAGAAGAATCCTTTTCTTCTTCGTCACATATAAGAAGATAAGAAGGATAAGATTATATTTTTTAGGTGCCGATCTCACGCATACAGATTACGTCTACACTCAGAAGAAAAGTACTTGAAAATTTATTTGCGGGACACGAAGTTTATTCACAGAAGTGAACGTTATTCCACCGAAATAAACTTTATATCCCGTAAAAAATAAATTCCCAAGTATTTTTTCACGGTGTGTGTACACAACTCATGTCCGCGAATGAGTTCGCGTTACTCGACATCCAGAGTCCACCGGGCGAATTGTCTTGAAGCGATCGATAATGATATACGATACACGCGCGACACTCGCGGTGTGATAATAAACGCGGCTAAACTTTTGTCCACGTTTTCCTCGTGTGTTGACGTGCGACTATTCCGACTATTCCGATGTAAGATCAGAAACACTCTCGGCTACCGCCGCCGTCGCCGCCGTCGACGGAGTCTTGCGAATGCCGCTGACTCGAGTCTCCGCTGTCGCAAAACGACGAACGGAAACGTGGAAAATATTGGATTTAATAACACCGGCGCTGCTGGACACACACGAATAATAGCTCGAGAATTCTCGCCGGCGACTTCGCCGTTGCGGACTCTCCGACCGACTCGAGGAAGCGTGAACTTCCTTGATGAAAATTTTCACGGCTCGCGTCGCCGTTTTAATTTTCAATATCAAAATTGTCTCGGATTCAATTATAAATTACACTGAAGTTATCAACGCCGGGCTTACCGTGCTCCCCGCCGCGAAATAAAATCTCCTCTCTCATTTCCGGCTTCGAATCGCGTGGCTGCCTGCCATTTCTTTCCCATTCGGTTCTTCACGGTTGAGGAAGCAACGCGACCGAACTTCGGTCGAATTCAATTCATTCGCGATGATCGATCGGCAAGCAGCGGCGTTTCCGCGCGAGATGCAAGCGCTGCTGCTCGTCTACGACTCGGCGATGACACTTGTGCACCCTTGACTTACCTGTGCGAGATATTATTTGTGCAATTTC